CACCCCCGGCACGCAAGAGTGGCGGTCAAAAATTCGGGAAAAATAATATCATTGAACTTTTCTTAACAAATCACGTAACATCACTCGTTTTGTGAATCCCGGGACCGGGGGCCCCTACACACACGATGTTGAATCCGTATACGCGCCATCATACAGCAATAGCAACTTCCCATAGCTTTCCAGCCCCGCCACCACCACCACCACCACCAACCCCGCCATCGTTCCCACAAGCGCTCCACAGACAAATCATTTCCGTCCGTTGTCTTGGGGGGTACAGTACTGTACTGCACCACCGGGCCCAACCAAATCGCACCGCAACCCCCACGTGCCCGGCCCACGCACCGGCACCACCGTTGCCAAACGGAACGAGAGCAAGCCCCCACGTGCGTAGTGTTCGCCGTCTCGGTTACGAGTACGAGTGCAGTATTATGATATAGGTAGTCTAGAGTTGTTCGCAAGGGAAAGGGAGGGCTCGTGTGAGTTTTGATACATGACGCGGATGATAACTGGGAGTGAGTTGTGGAAGAGGCAGAGAGAGAGGGGGTAACCGATACAAGGTGATGATGAACGGTTCCCTGCAAGAACCAAGGTTTCAAAGCGCACGCTGGGAGTGCTAAAGTCTGGTCGTGTATGCAGGACATGACGTGCCGAAAATCACCTTGAGGGTCCTCTCATGTGCACTGACTGCTACCGCTACCGGTGCCTGTCCTCCCCCCCCCCCTCCAAGATCCGATTCCCATTACGGTCGCACCCCGCTATGACTACTGTCAGAGAGTCTAGACTAAAAGAAGGAAAATGGTGGGGCTGAAGGTAAACCCTCTGAAAGAAAAGAGCAAGGGGATACTGACAACTGAAAACTAGGATGGCCAATGGAATGAATATAGTGTGAACAGCAGGATGCCATAGAAATTGATACAATATCTTGACTTTTGTACTGCTTCCATATCAATCATGTCAAAGACAATGAAGGCTATAATTAACAGCTTCGCAAAAGTATAAACTCTTGTGCCTTTGTGTAAAGTATCCTCATCCAAAATTAGCAGACTTTGCTCCCCTCCTCCTCGACGACTGTCCTCAATGTCCTGATGGATACTAGTAGTAGCCACCCGCAATCTCAACCAACAACCCCTTTCAATCACCTAGAAGGATGAAGAAAGAGGATTAAAAGTGAAGAACCTCTAGCTAGTAAAGTCCAATTGCAGTTTACCAATCCTGATACCAGTTGCATAACAGAAAGTATCACGGTAATGCTGCCCATGAAAATTCCCCGAGATAGAGCTCCCCCCCCCCCATAAGGA